CAATCAATTTTAGGTACTCCTAGTCCAGCCGGCAAGTTATATAAAAGTAGAACATGAAACATCGCTGTAGGAGTTTTAAAAACGTTCGAATTGATATTAATTTGTTCAGTAAATATGTTTCACATCTAAATTAAGCTGCACTACACATTCGAGTTGAAATGACTTACTAAACACATGATTTGATTACGTGGTTACTTCTGCTTTGTTCCCGAAATGCCTCCGCAATCAGATCTTGAATTTAATAGATCTAAAAACTGTATTTTCATCATCATTCTTCATCATCTATGTATTATAAACTAATCAAAAAATCTCAGGAAAGGAGTTCTTCTAATAGCTAAAGATAAATGATGACAATATATAAATATGTTTATAATGAAGTTGAATATTCCAGATGATATTAACTACTGTGAAATAATGTTATTTGTGATTTCGTCCAATATTATAAGTGGATATAACGTTTATTCTCTTTATATTAGACTGTAGATCACCAATGTAGATGATCTATATTGAATGATTGGATACCTACTCGAGTTAGTGAGACCAGCACCGTATTGGCCATTCCATGGCATACGATTAACTGATACGCGTTAGTTGTCCTTGACTTTGACAGAAATCGATGATGTGTTCGATATTCAGTGACCCAACTACCGGATGATCTAGCTAGGACTTGATGACATTTCACTGGCCTTACAAGACCAATTTCTAAGCTTGTTATCTTTGTCATTTTTCAGATGGCGACTGATTAGTATTAGGTTACTAAATATAAAGAATTTATTCACATGACGATTAAGATCGAATCCTAACTAAAAATAAGATCTATTGTTATATGGTTGATCAAGCATAAAGTTCAGATCAGTTTTACTAATATTTGACCACACTATTACAATTCAAATTCAAAGAAATGATCATTCATTTAGAATAGTATATTCTTATTATAACTAGTTCACTTTACGTTAGCGTTCGATGATCGAACTTCAATCAAATAACTTTTCTCAATATTTAATGTACTTCAATGTATAAACCTCTTTACTTACAAGTTTGATTCATTATAGCAATGGTTATGAATAAAAATTTATTGACTAAAATTGTTTATAATAAACTATGAAAATTATTGAAAACACATGACATTTCAATACAAAAAGAACAACAAAAACAACCCCTAATCATTAAATAACAATGTGAGTTGATAAGATATTTATCTCATCTTATTGATAAAGTCTGGAGTTCAACCAGGTCTGTTGTGAGATAGTAACTCACTGAATACAATGATGAATGTGTCTCTCAGTTTCGTGGACTACTTGAAGTTAGACATTAACACCGTTGGATGCTGGCTGTCTCAGTGGTCTAGAGGTTAAGTGTTCACGCGCTCGAGACTGATAGGTCCTGAGTTCGAATCGCGCAAGGTGGGATCGTAGGTGCGCACTGCTGAGGAGTCCCATACTAGGACGAAACGGTTGTCCAGTGCTTCCAGGTTTTCCATGGTGGTCTGGCTTCAAATGACTCATGATCTCAACTATTGAAATTACTGTAATATCCACAAGAACCCCTTCTGATATATAATTTTAAAATACTGAAACATTTGAAATTATATGAGAAAAAGTTTTGCATGTTTCATATTGATAGTAGAACAAAGATTTAGTCTTTTAAAACGATTGGTATATAATAATATAGTTTTAAGTTGACTACATAAAAAAGAAATGAAAAAAAAACATTCCAGTTTACATGAGTAACTATGTTTTAAAAGTTAGTTACGGATATATTTGAAAGATCATTTTCTACGGTAACTTATGTAACCTACATTTATTTGAATAATAAGAATGTTACGTCCGGTCAGTATAAGGCGAATAACCTCGTTTATTCTTTTATAACACAATACATATAAGTGAACAATAGTGTTTTCAATTCGATATTCATTAGGTTTTACTCTTATATACAGTATTATTTATTTGCATATACTCAAAGTATTAAACCAGTCAAGGGAATTTATGAGTTAATCTTAACAATGAAAAAGGATTATATAGCTAGTCAATAATAAGTAAAAAGTACAAATCGATATTAAGGGAATGGGTATTAGTAAACATATAAAGAATAAACAGTATAATAACATGTATGATTACATTGAAATAGAACGTAAGTTAACCACCCATCTTCTATCTTGACATAGTGTGCTTGATATTGGATTACTTAAAGTACTAGCTTGATCGCAATTTACTCCACAGAATTTGACTAGCACTAAGAAGGATTTGACATATATGACATTGGTCATTATTCAGTGATCAATCATTTGTAAAAACACCTCATTCCTACAGGATGTCAGTTGCGGATTGAATAACCTGGTGGTAACATCTTTGACATAAAAACTGAGTGATATAGGGTTGAATAGCCAAGGTGCACCAGATGATAAAAATAACCTGTGTCCTGACTTCTTTCACGACTTGTTCTAACCACGTCCTTACAAAGTATGTCAAAGCCCAAAAAACTTACTACCACAGAAATCTTAAAGACTTACGTAGTAGTAAATACATGAATGATCAGTTTAAGCAGGAAGTTAGTAAAGAAGAAAGGTAAAACAAATATCATTTGAATTGGTAATTACCTAGGGAAGTGACAAAACAGGCTATATTATCCCCTACTTGAGGAGCTATCATTGGTTAGTTAGAAAATAATAGAGAGACTAGCCAGATCAAAAGTCCTCCAAGTTCCTATCAACTAGGCTGGAGATAAACTCCACGTCGTCAAGTCACGTATATTACTTTACTTACTTACTTACGCCTGTTACTCCTAATGGAGCATAGGCCGCCGACCAGCATTCGCCAACCAACTCTGTCCTGGGCCTTCTTTTTTAGTTCCATCCAATCCTTGTTCATTTTTCTCATGTCTATTTCCATTTCCCGGAGTAATGTGTTCTTTGGTCTACCTCTTTTCCTTTGGCCTTGAGGATAATAAATGGTTGTTCTGGTTGTCAGACGGGGCATCGGTCTCATAACTTCCGTAAGGAATTCGGCTTTCATCATGAATTCTTCTAAATGACGATCTTCTGATTCCCAGGGCAGAGTTTAAAAGGTTCGAATAATGTTTTCTGGTTAGCGTTTTTTTAGCGAGTTAGTTTTCTACGGGATGGGGTCGCTAACCCCATGCCCAACCCTCCTCCTTTATCCGGGCTTGGGACCGGCAGTAGCCCCCGGAGGGACTACAGGCGGATTTAAGTTATATATATTGGTGTATATTGATGAAGATCCTCATGAGGATCAATTTCAAATTAATATTGTTCGCTCATATATGCTCCTTCAGTTAACATAATAGAAATGTTAAATATTTATTTACCGACGAACAAATGAATACACATATTGATGGTAATTTCCCATCAGAGTTTATGATTATATTAAAGAAGTGTTTATTCCGAACATTTGAAGTCGTTATGGTTAAAAGAAACTATAGACCGTGTCAAGTACCACTCAATTAAAAATTACAGCAACTTCATATATTACTTACTAATTAATTCCTCGAAGAATTCTTTAAAAAATCATTTCATTCAATCAGAATTCAATAAAGATTCTCAGAAAATTCTGGGAAGATAAATGACAGGATAATACCTATTGTGTTAATAAATTCATTGTATTTCTAAGAGCCTCTTGAATATCCAGGCTACCAATAAACCTCTAAATTTCCTTATTTTTTCTACACAAACTAGCCTTAAAGTAGGGTCTCTTTTATACTTCTCACCTTTACTATACTATTAGGTACCTAAGTGTATAAAGAACAAGTAGGCAATTATCAAATCATTACTAGGCATTCAAGTTTCAGATGAACCATATAACATATATTCTTCAGGACGGAATAGCATCAGTGCCAACTGGAATCTAAATTTATTTACCAGAAAATGTTCAATAGAATAATAAACAAACATGTCTTCAAAAATAATAGGCTTCATACAAATTAGTGATTATGAACCAAATAAATAACAGAAATCGAGAACCAATGCCAGTTACAAAACCATTGGAAATCTAGGAGTACTGAACGTCCATTTAATCGGAGTTTGGGATCCCTAAGTAGTAAGCATCTACGACTTAGCAACCGGATATCTGACCATGAACCTTCGGTACCTCGAATGAAGGCCTAACCTCTAGTCAACTGAGGTGTCACCCAACGGTATACAAGTCTAACTTCAATGAATTTACTATTAAGTGAAACTATAGGGCAATAAAATAAAATGTTTAAACTGATGCAACAGATTGCTTTGTAGTTCCTTTTAAAAACGGAAATGACAAAATTGAAGCCAAATCCATATTTACATAGTTCATCCTATACATAGATCAATATGTGCTGATTACTTTCCATTAACAGTTATTCTTATAGACTGAACTAGAAATAAACAGACATCGAATTTGAGACAGTATTTTGTTTAACGTTATATAACTATGTATGCTTCGTATACGTGCACTATGATTAGAAGGCAGTTTTATTATGGATTATGAAGTCTTTACTTCAAAACCAATCAAGTGACATTTAGACAATTTCGTGTGTTCAAGTCTATTTCTTTTTAAAAATAGTTTGCATCAAGGTCTATCGTCAACTGTCTAACCATTGAGGACCAGAAAGGACTGAAAAGTTAACAATGTCTATTTTTAGACTCTTCAACATTATTGACTAATGACTTTATATTATATTAATCTCAGAACAATCGTTTACAGCTAGCGTAGCAATTTAAGAACATTAGTTTGGAGATTAATAATTCATCTTACTGCTTCAGTAGACTTGAAAATACACTGGATATTGGAAACCGTTGTACTGAGTAAAGACGTTAATCAGTTTGAACGAACTAACTATTTAAACTTCTGTTTCAAATGCATTGTATTCATTAGTAAACATTGACATACTATGGTGCTTTGCCATTATTATCAACGAATTCATCTGAAATGCAAGTATTCTGAATCTTTTTATTTTACGATTAGCAAAATAACGTAATTATGTTGTTTTTTAATTCTCTATTTCTATTTTAGTATCGCTCAAACAACTAAATTGAATAACGAGTATGGTTATATATGTGAATGCAGTAAGATACCATACGATTTTATAATAAAAAATGGAATAGCTCCAGGTGTTGGAATAGTTCAAACTGTAGAAGATCATCATGTTGACTTAATTGTTATGGGTAATCGTGGACTAAGTAGACTCAAACGTACACTACTTGGTAGTGTAAGTAGTTATGTAGTACACAATGCGTATGTACCATGTATCATAGTGCCACCAGTTTGAAGAAAAGAACAATCAATATTTATACATATATGAAATATCTATGAAGCTTTTTTTGAAATCATATTTTTTATACACACTGGATTACTCTTCTTTCTTGACATTTATTCATTGTGTAATACGTTATTAGTGTCATTTTAGAAAAGAAACTTGTGTATTCATTATTTGTTGTTTTATTTTATAAGTATCTAAATAATGTTGACTATTGAAACTACATAAAAAAGATGTACGTTCCCTTTTTTAGGATTCACAGGAAGTTAGGAATGATTACTTTTGTTTATAAGCAATATCGGTGGTGTAGATTCGGTTGCTCAGTATTTGTTTTTGGAATTCATATGCATTACTAAATCTCCTGCTTACTAGTTTGATGTCAAACACTGGCTAGAAAGATCTTGAAATAACTGTTTTAATTTATAACGTAAATTCTTACACTAACGTGCAAAATGTTCAAAATCTACATTCTCTTCAGTGACCGTCGGTGTTTCCAGTTTAAATCTTCAACCTCTTAATATGTTATTGCGTAATACGCTTTATAAAATCACATAGGAAGTATTTGTCTCTATGTTGATCAGTTTCTGAATTTTGGTAAAGGAGGGAAAACTCTTAAAGTATGTGTTATCTCTTTTTTTTCAATACCTGTGTTAGTACAAGTCTGTTAAAGTGTTATGCTAAATTATCAGTAGCTCAACTTAGGCACAGGACAATGCAGAGAGTAGTGTTCACGATCCTATCAACTAGACTGAAGATAAACTCTATATTGTAAAGTCATCTGAGTATATCGTAGGCAGTAATTAGGGTTGTGTTTTCGTTTATTCAGTCAATCACTTGTAGCTATTTTGGAACAATTTCTATTATAGAAATTATTGGAGGTATGAAGTTTGCCATTTTGTAATTTTTCTTCCATCGTGACAAAGTGTGCTACACTTCACTCGTCCATAACATGAAAGGGTGGCATTTTTGTCGTGGAAAACTTTATATTTTTCGTATAATCCAGCAGAAACAACAAGTTAAAACATGCCCTTCATCATGGACTGTGATAGTATAAATAACAACAACAACAACCTACTGTGGGAGAGAACAAAGCAGATTCCAGCGGAGGAAAAAGTCCAGAAGAAGCGTTGGAACTGGAACTGAGTCACAAGGTAAGCCCTCACTTAGACTCCTCAAGGCCAAAAGAGAAGGGGAAGACCAAAGAACTACATTACGTCGAGAAATGGAGACAGACATGAGAAAAATGAACAACAGTTGGATAGAACTAGAAAGGAAGGCCCATGACAGGGTGGGTTGGCGAATGATGATGGGCGGCCTATGCTCCATTGGGAGTGACAAGCGTAAGCAAGTAAGTAAGTAATAACATTCAGTAAAAATAAAAAGGACACATACAATTGAATTTTATGAGGTAAAACGTTTTTAGAAAAATCTGTAGTTTTCAGTGGATATCAGACTAATAACTCTAATAACTCGAATAATAAATAATCGATAGGTAATCAGTTATTTTTTTATTAATAAATGAAAGAGTTGAAAGGCATTTTCACATCTAATTAATGATTTTTATAAGTTTTTCTTGATCCGAGATTTGACTCTTATTTGATCGTTTCTGACTGTTATTGAAGTATACATGTTGGCATTCCTCGTATGTAATCGTCGAACTGAATCGCATTAGAGGATAACGAAATAAAAATAAGTAAAATACGAGAATGAATGTCAAATACGTGTATTTTATGCAGTCGTTGATCGGAAAACGAAGCAAAACAAAGTGACGCGCGGTAGAGAAGATGAGTGAGCCAACTCGAATTATTCAAGCCTTAATCAATATTTATATTCACACAGAAATAAGTTACAGACATGTGATAAATGGGTTAAAAAGTGTATACATATAAGCTCACATGAAAACAATCAAGGTTGATAAGCGAATAATTAACAAGGCCAGAATGTGACTCAAGAAGGGTGAATAAAATGACCTGTGCAGAAGCTAGAATAAGCTATGTGAGCATAACATAGTAACCGTCACTACATATCCTCCTTGTAGATAATCGCACACTTATTTGGAAAAAAACGTCTGTTTTCAAAAATATCACAGATGAGGCGTGTGGTAGGTAGCGAAAAAATTGTAACATATCTGATAGAGTACAGTGTCATATGAGGAGCGAGTGTATCATACGTGCCATTTATATAAACAAATGCAGATGAATATTGTAAAGACGCAGACAAAAATGAAATTTTAGCATGCGATCATCAGTGAGTTAATAAGTGTACAGAAAATTAACATACATTTATGTCATGACTGTCTGGACGATAAAATAGCACGTTCGTATGAGCGATCCGAAATACCATGAAAACAGTAATAACTCGTTTATGAGTATGACAGCGGAATTAATCGTGAAAATAAGTATGGTAGAATAAAACAAGAATCGGTCTGTGATGCTGACAGAATATAAGGATAAAGAACAGTGAAATATGAATATGTTCTGATGAGCCACAGTAGAGTAAATAGTGTCAATCAGCCATGAGTGGATTCGAATTTGCACACATGGAGTTTTTGTTTGTAGGATAAGACCAATCAAACCGTGAAATAATAACTGCATTGATAGGGGATATTCTTCGCTGTACTGCAATCCATAACAATCATAAGATACAAAGTCAGTGTACGTCGTCACGTTATGACCAGATGCCTCGAGTTATTGTTAAATATGTATTAATAGAATGACCAGGGAGACATAATGGTTACTGTAGAGACAAGATACGCAGAGGGAGATGCGCTCGACTTCGTGTGTTTCGAAACCGTACTAAGACATGTTAAAAATATCAATACATATGGTTGTTCATGACGGCGAGTGAGACTGAACAAGAGTGTATCCTTGAGAGACTAGTTCTAAACTCTATGTTCTGACATAGTATGACGGGAATAGAATATTCATTGCATTATGGGTAAAGAATGATACAGCGTGCAGTTGTACATGTGAACGAATAGATTAGATGAACGTAATCGTTACTAATCGGCTAGTAATGCGACATCGAATACTTGATTTTGAGTATAGACATTAAAGTAAAGATTATCGATTACACAAAAAATGGCTCAAGTTTGGTTTAGATTGTCGTTGAAGAAGTAGGAAATGACAATCGCTGAGTACAAATGAGGTGAATGAACATTAGTTTCATGTCGAGAACATAAGTTCCTACTACCGGAAGTATGACTCCAAACTCATGTCTATGATACATTTGCTAACCGTCGGGGTAGTTGTGACCATGTCGTTATCAGCGTGCAGGAGGTTTGCTCGACTGCTAAGACTGAAAATTCAAGTTCATGCCTGGGTTGCTAGACCGCCAATTTACTTAGCAGGTTCCAGGTTTTTCGGTGTATGAGCAGCTAGTAAATATGTCGGAAATATATATGACATGCGATAGCCATGTATCCACAAAAATGAACGATAATAATTAAGCCACTGGTATGATAAATGATCCAGAACGTAATAAAGATGATTGATCCTAGCAAAAGATTTATTAAAATTAAAAGTATCCACAGACATAATACACGATACGAAATGAAAAATGTGTGGTATGATGACGTAAAAATGACCTCAACTAAGTGAATGAGTGTAAAAATAGGGCAAAAATAACGGAAAAAATTGGAACGAACTCACTTAGATCAGGATAAATTTACGCTATAGAATAATAAAAACAGTCCAGTGAATTTCGAGTGTCATAACGTGAATGAAATGTTCGGTGGTTGATATGTTTGCATAAATGTCGTAATTTAATGTCAGCACGAAGAAAAATAATAATTCCACGTTAAGTGATGATGTGACAATGAGACCATGATAATTATTTGAATCATAATGGAACAATCCACCCGATAGATCAATGAGCAGAAGTGACAAAAAGCCAAAGTATCGATAAGATAATACGATTTGAGCATGTCGATGTTATGCTGCACAGGCTTCACTGAATGAATCTTATTAGAGATTGAGTCGTTTTGGTTTCTCGGTGATTAAGTCAGCCACTTCTTTCGTTTATCGGACCTGTAGAGTTCTAGATATTCACCGTCTGTGTAGATTTTCAGGGTGCGTTTAGTTCGAAGTCAGGTCTGTCACTTTACTGGTGTCGTGACCTCTCTCTGGTTTGATCTTATGGTTAGAAACTGCGTTATTTATCAATTAAGCTGGCTTTGCTGAGTTTGTTTGTCGAAAAAAATGGAGTTCAGAAGGTTTATCATCGACATAGTTTACTGCGTTAGATTCGGCAGGCTCAACACTCAAGTGGCCCTTAATCTGACCCCAAATGGTTCGTAAGAATGATAGTTATCGAATGATTGCTGTGGAAATATACATCCTGGCTATCCTCGTATATAATCGTCGAATTAACTCACGTTAGTGTATAATGGAATTAAATAAGTAAAATGCGAAAATGAATTTTGAATGTGTATATCTTATTACAGCGTTGATCTGAACAGGGAAACTATCGGAGAAACAACGTATAGTGGAGAAGGCATGTAAGCCAACTCGATTTAATCAAGCATTAATCAATATTTATAGTCACACAAAAATAAGTTACAGACATGTAATGAATAGGATAAGATGTACAAATACATGTACGCTTATATAAAAACAATCAAGGTTAATAAGTGAATAATTATGAAGATCAAAATGTCAGTCAACAAAGATACATAAACTGGCTTGTTCGGTAGCTAGAATAATCTATGTGAGCATAACAATAGTCACTGACACTACAAGACAATCATAACGTATGTTTACTTAAACAATCTTTGTAATTTCTATATTGTCGAAGAATATGTTTGATTTAGTATATAAAAATTCATCAATCTCATATGTTACTTCGATTAGTTTTACACATTCTTAAATAGTTGCGTGATCATATTATGATATACACGCATATAACTTACACATTTTAGCCTGTTTCTAAAAAAGAAAAAATTTTTGCCAATAATCAACATACTTTGATTGTTTTAATAAAACAAAACAAAAAAAGTTGAATATTATTTTGCATGATAAATTTGTAAGTTTCCATAGGATCAAAGAAAGAAAAAGGAAAATGTCGACAAATTCAATGAATTTCGGTTGATATCATGAATTGATTGATGTTAGACCACCATTGGAAACCTGGAAGCACTGGACGGCCGTTTCGTCCA